GACTTTATTTATTGCTTTTTAAATTATTTTTTGAATTTTTGGTGTGCTATTTTTCAATTGATGAAAAAATGTGTGCCTTCATAATTTGGCCTTCTCCTTTTCCTTGATAGTAGAACCAGTATAGTATGTTTGAGTAAAAAAATAGATGATAAAAGTTATTGCTAAAATAAAATATTTAATTAAAAATTTTAATAGACCAGTTGATGAAAAAAAAAGAAGAATAAACAGTGCAAAAAATATTTGTAAATCGTAATTTAAGAGAGAAATATAGGAGAAAATTATAAGATAGTAAGACTGCTACTTGTCCAAACTAAGAAGGAAATTTATACTAAGAGAAAAAAAATAACAAAATTAAATGTACACTTACCAAGTTTGAAAAAAGTTATTTATGTCTATACCAATCATAATTCCAGACAAAAAATGAATATACAAACAACATCCGAAACATAGATTTTCGTCATGTCAGCATACGAAGCGTGTGAGTCTGACACTTAGGCTCAACACGTGAATTAATATATAGGAAGAATTTGTAAAACGTAATTTATGAGAGAAGTATATGAAAAAAATATAAGATGGTAAAACTGCTACTTGCCCAAACTAAGAAGGAAATTTGTACTAAGAGAAAAAAAAATAACAAAATTAAATGTACACTTACCAAGTTTGAAAAAAGTTATTTATGTTTATACTAAGTCTAATTAGAGCAAAAATGAATAGACAAACAACATTCTGAAGCATAGATTTTCGTCATGTCAGCATACAAAGCGTGTGAGTCTGACACTTAGGCTCAACACGTTTTCCATTAATATATAGGAAGTATTTGTAAATTGTAATTTATGAGAGAAATATAGGAGAAAATTATAAGATGATAAGACTGCTATTTGCCCAAACGAAGAAGGAAATTTGGACAAAGAGAAAAAAAAATTAACAAAATTAAATGTATACTTACCAAGTTTGAAAAAAGTTATTTATGTCTATGCCAAACTTAATTCCAGAGCAAAAATGAATATACAAATATTTCGAAGCATAGATTTTCGCCATGTCAGCATACGAAGCGTGTGACTCTGCCACTTAGGCTCAATACGTTTTGAATTAATATATAGAGAGGTATTCTCAATCATGTGAACATGCACAGTGGAAAACAGAAATTTATATATTGTATGTACGTAGATAATATTTAAAAATTTAATTAGATAAAGTGTGTATACATTTAAAAATTCTGACTATTTGTAAATGTATATTATAAATATAAATTATTTTACTTCCATATTAATCAATGTTTTTTTTGTTATTGTATAACTATAATACAAAATAGGAATATTAGCTGTAAAATAATTTAATATTGTATATTCAGAAAATTTTCATATAAAATTGTTACAGAATAAAAAATTGATAATAATAAGGTTTTATTTGTATAACTGTCATTTAAATGCTGGTCATAAATTTTTTTATTAAATGAAGTATTATTTTTATTAATTGATGGCTGAATAAAATTTATTGAAATTTGTCAATAATTAAATATACTAGTATTCGAACATGTGCATTTGCACAGATATAAATAAAATTAAATATTATAAGTTATTTGTATGCATATAATATTAAAATTATAAGTTAAATAATAGTATTATATTTCAAACATATGGAGTCATCCACACTTATTCACCAATAGTGTATTGACACGTGTCCTACAATAAATACAATTTGGACATGTGTCAATACATTAAGTGGTGGATGCCTCCATAAGAAAACCATCCGATGGCTCCATAGAATTTTGGTTCAAACATATAGTATTATAAGTTATATTTGTGCATATAATATTAAAATTATAAATTAAATATGAGTATTACATTTTAAACTTTGATCATTGGTTAAAATAAATACACAGCACATACGATTTGATTGCATACGAATCACTATATGAATGCATAAAATGTAATAAATATATAACTTTTGTAATTTTGAGTGACTTAAAATATAAAATTTATTATAACAATTGTTTATGTGATTTTAAGAAATTTTACTATGATATTAAAAAAATAATTTATTTAAAAAACAATCGCTTAATCATATGAAAAACATAATATTGATTTTATTGTGGATATAATTTTATGTGCCTTTCATATATCATTTCGCGTAAAATACAATAATTAATTTTAATATTAACTTTTATATGATTCAATAAAAAAATATAATTATTACTCAATTAACATAAAATATAATAGTTTTTGTCTTAATTAACCCAATAAAATGTAATAAAATATTTTATTATTAATGAGATAGGGTGTATTAATGCCACATAGGTAAAATTTATTAGGTTCTATCTAATGATTTGACACATAGGTAAAATTTATTAGATTTTTTTTATTAGGTAAAATTTATTGCTAATCTAGCAATATATATAAATTAGAGTGGGAGTTGTGTATATATATTTTGGGGAAATGCTATATGTACATAATATTGTAGGGATGTACATGACACTCACATTGAGTGGGACCTACTAAAAATAAAAAATCAAGTGGACCCCACTTCATGTGACTGTTATGTACACCTCTATGTATATTTATTATGTACATGTAGCATTTTCCTATATTTTGTTGGAAAATTTACAATACACTATAACTAAATGACAAAAGAAGTTTTGGTAAAATAAAACATGAATAGATTGATGAACGATAAAATTATTAATAAATGATATTTATGAAATATAGATATAATATTATTATTATTAATGATAGTCAATAATTTATAAAGGGTAAAGTCCACTTTTGGTCCTCCATGTTTAGGGGGTATCCAGATTGAGTCCCTATTATGTTTTGTTGCCCAATTTTAGTCCTTAAAACAAAAAAATGAGTCCCAATTATGTTTTGGTGCCCAATTTTAGTCCTTAAAACAAAAAAATGTAGTCCTTATAATAGGGAAAAATCCACTTTTAGTCCTTCATGTTTAGGGGTATCCAGACTTAATCCCTATTATGTTTTGATGCCCAATTTTAGTTCATAAAACAAAAAAATGTAGTCCATTTACCTCAATTTCTGTGAATTAACGGTCCATTTTTGCTCGACTGTGATGTTCTTTATTTTTTTAAAATTTGTTGATTAATGTCAACTTTGACCAAAGAAAAATAAAAGAAAATTTAAATGCTGAAAATATATTAATCAAAAATTAAACTAAAACAAGAAATTGCACCAAATTAAATTAAAATTTTTGCTCGTCCGATTTCTATTTCCCTAGCATTCGCGCTGCGGAGCAAGCCTGGAATCACAGCTACTGCTCTTGCACCCATTTCCGGGTAATGCCATCGAAAAAAATTGCACCTATCAACCCTCTGTTTTTTAATCATTTCTTATCATATTCCAATTGAAGTTCACAGAAAGTACTTACAGGATATAGAGGGCAACTCAATAATCTTCTCCCGGGATTATCATCCTTCCAGCATGTAGTCAACTTTGCAACCAGCTCACATCTACAAAATACCACACCATTTCCATCCATTTGATCGGATTTAGTCTCTAGGCGGTCAGGTTTTTTTTTTCTACGTTTCACTGTAGTTCACCATTTCTGCCTTTTATTTTACCTTTTTTCAGCATTTAAATTTTCTTTTATTTTTCTTTGGTCAAAGTTGACATTAGTCAACAAATTTTAAAAAAATAAAGAACCTAACGTCGAGCAAAAATGGACCGTTAATTCACATAAATTGAGGTAAAGGGACTACATTTTTTTGTTTTAAGGACTAAAATTGGACATCAAAACATAATAGGGATTAAGTCAGGATACTCTTAAACATGGAGGACTAAAAGTGGATTTTTCCCTATTATAGGGACTACATTTTTTTGTTTTAAGGACTAAAATTGGACACCAAAACATAATAGGGACTCAGTCTAGATACCCCTAAACATGGAGGACCAAAAGTGGACTTTCCCCTGAAATGAGAACAATAAATTTTAAGATAAATTGTTGTGGAAGTTGTTTTACTAAAGTTAAAGTGAAATGAAATATCCTTTTGATAAACAAAATCTCTAATGAAATGAAATATTTTTTAATATCCAATCACTAGAAACACAATCAAATTCAAAAATAATAATAACCAACCTGGCCTATGCTTTAGCCAACAGCTTAGTCACTTTTGCAATGTTGTTAGGTGATAGAATCTAATTTAAAGATCGATTTAAAGTGAGTAAACACAAATTAGTTATCTTAAAAATGTAATATTTTTCCTCTCCAGCTTAAATTATTTATTCTAATTCATCCGTGATTCATGAATTAATAATATTAAAATTAGATGGATACTCAATATTCGTATTAATTTCTAGTCATCCTTAATATAGTCAAGACCATCATGTTACAAAAAAATGTTTTTCTTTAAAAATGAAGAAAAATAATAACAGAGAAGCGCATACACATCTACCCACTATATATTCCTTTGATAAACTTCAAAAGGATTCATTAAAATACACCATGATGGCCGGGAAAAACGAAAATAAAGAAATAAGAAAGAGAAGATTTTATGGTTATATGTTTATAATAATGATAAATGTTTCTATCATTCGAGTCTGTTTCGTAACCATTATATAAGTTAGCTCATAATATTTTAAAATTTAAATAAATTAATAAATTTGATTTGAGAAAACACTTACGAAGTTTAAATTTTAGATGCTCATTGAGATAGCACGTGCACGAAGTTATTGCTAATTTTACCAAAGTTTTTGTTATACAAGTACTAGTAATCAACTCAAAATTAACCTGTTAGTCAATTTACCAACTATACTAAATTTTTAAACTAATTCTAACAAACATGCTCTTCTTTTATCCTTGGTACTTACATCCCAAACCCAAAGATCAGTTTAATTACTAATTAATTAAACCCTCCCTATAAATGGTCAAGACTATTGACTGTAGGATTCAAATATGATGAGCTGGTTCCAAGTTGTGGGGATTTGCAAAATGAATAATGTGGCTTCACATGTTTAACATCTCAGAATATACATATCTTAT